ATGGACCCTAAAATTCAACGAACGAACGAACGGAGGGACCGGACCACGCGCGAGAATGCCCAGCGCTTGGTCCGCGTAGGCCGTGTGCTCGCGAGGGATCCCGACGTGTATTCCGGGGTACGGATACACAAAGGAGACGACGCAATTATTTTATGTACCTACATATGTATTCGTTGACTTTGGGAGGCTGAAGAAGGTTTTCTGGACCTCCGAACACTGGCTCTACCCCAGTTTCGCTTCCCATCCGGCCTGCCGCAGGTCGGCCATCGTGGAACCTTGAATATCGAATCAAGGAACGGAAATCGTCGTTTCCGAACGCATCCTCCCGAGTCCGACATGGAATCCTTCAGAACTCCCGCTTGTTATGGAAATGCTCGGCATGCTCGACGTTGCTTGCTCTTCAAGTGATCGCGGTCCCCCACTGAACTACCGATTCCCTCCTCTCTGACGACGTTTCGATCGAATCTCATTAGGGGAATCATAAGTCCCTCGGGCTCTACCTCGTTTGAGGTTCGGGAGCTCGATTCTGAGTTCGAATGGTTACGGGGCAAGGGGTTGGCGAAGGCGGTGTCGTTCGATGAAAAATACGACTGCAGGGCTCGACTGCTGATTTCGAGCTCAGCTTGCGGATTCGAAGATGAGCCTCTCGCTGTAGACATGTGGCTCATGGCGGGTGATCACTGGAACAATGGCCTTTACGTCAGGCTCGACCTGGATCCCTATTCTGACAGGGGGCAGACTGAACGAACGACGACCACCTAGGTGTTCAACAATCAGTCGTAGCCTCGACCCTACTGCAGCGAGCGGCAGTCATTATCATCTCGAACAGAACAAATAAGTGAACCCTTTTAAAGCTCGCATCCGCAAGTCATTTGTTCCTGACAATGATTCCGTTTCGCTTTCGGTCTGGCTTGAAATTCAATCGGTGCTCCTCCAAAAACAATCTCCGACAAGATCAAACGTCAGCGAACCGTGATCTGCGGGATTCTGACGGGAAATAGAATATTCAAATCACTAGATTAGCGTTTTGAGTACGGCGAGAGGAGGGCGCACGGAAATTCCGTTCCCGGAAACCCAGCCGAGGACTCGCTGAGCAGAGGATCCCACACGGATCCTCGTCTGTTTATTCATGACCCCGCGTTTATCAAATGTTCAAGTAGGTATTTGATTCTGTATCGTTGCACACGACCGAATGCCTCGGATTAAGGCTCACCTTGGTTAATAATTTAGGTGAGTGTACGCCAGTCGTGGTCGACCGGTCGGGCGAGCGCTCGCCGACCGGTGTCAGCTGCCGGATCCCATGCATACCGAGAGCCCACCTACTACGGGAACACCTGCACTCGCCGGTCCTCATCATGCCCACGTGCACGCACGCCATAGCGTATATGGGGCGTTCACAATTCATCAGTGCCCATCCAGAAAGTACGGCGGGATGAAACGAGAAGGAACAAGCGAAGAACAGGGAAGCGCTCCATTTCCCTCAGTCGTTCAATTCGAGAGGAGCGCGGTCGGAGCTCAGCGAGAATTTTCTCGATAACGCATCATGCGGCGCGGGTTGAGTGGAAGCCCGTCGATGTCCGATCGATCCAGCGACCGATCGATTAATGACACACGGCTCGGAACTGCGATTCTAGCACCTGTTCGGTTGAACCTCGTCGAGGGACATCGATTTCTTGATCATTTGAAAGCGTGTTCCAAAATTGCAAATTACCGGCGCTGGGGTGATTAGTTTGAGGGGAACCGGCCATTGGGGTCGCGACCCATACTGTGAAAAGCACAACAATTAGACATGACGACACGCGAGCTCAAAGAATAACATTCTTCCAAAATGACGGGGGACGGTCAAAGTGTAACAGATGAAGCATTGGTCAATGTTCGACCGGAAATAACGCTGCGGGAGGTTCGATGGGACGATTTTTTCATTAGATCTGCACCGATTCGACTGCTCGCCATTCTCGCGAGTCAGCTGGCTTGACTCGCACGTAACGGAAGCATATTGCTTTCGCGATCCTCCGCTCGTATATACGAACACATTTACATACATACAGGAACAGAGGGAAACGTCGTTATTAGCGTGAGCATCGCTCCTTTCTGTTGCCCCGTCTATCACAGCCCACAGGGAGGGAAAAGGGTAAGCGGGCGAATAGGAGGCGACCATGCAAGTCGGTCTGATTCGAATCGGCATAGTTTTCCCTACTTGCCCGCTCATTGCTTTCTTCGGGCGTGTTCCTCTACTCGCATGTAATACGAGCAAGGCGGCCGAAAAGAGCTGCAACCGCATTCGTAAGCAATGTTATCGAGCAGGCCAGGCCGCCAGAAACCCGAAACACTGATCGACGGATCGAGGAATTCCAGTGGGAATATTTCGGGATCATTTGGGATCGAACACTCTCGGCTCGACAAAACCTAAGCCGTCTATGTTTATTTCAATTATTATTATCATTATGCCTCCAATATCATACATATACATAAGCTCGACCGAAGCCTCTTCGGTAGAAAAAAAACAGTGGTAGGAGGAGAATTGATCTCAAGGAGAAGGATTCGCAGAATCCCTCGAGGAGAACCAGAGCCATCCACCTAGAAGAAGAATCCAGTCCAAGGACGCGAGTATGAAGAAGGATGAGTAGAGTATTAGTCCGAATGGACGCGTTTAGCCTAGCGCGGTACCGTCGACTGGCGTGACGGAGTGGCACAACTTCAGCGTTCAGCGCCGTACGAGCCGCACATGTCCTAGGTACGGCCCAGAAGCATGCAGGCAAGGCACCGATAAGAAATCGGAAGCAAAGACACGCCGGAAACGTCGTCGGGAAACGCGAATGGATCGAGAATCCATCGTCTGTCTTCCCCAAACTCCCGATCGCAGCTGTTCCGTCGCCGGAGGCTCCGTCTGGTTTCTGTCATGTCTCATTAGCAAGCGGATGATCATTGATTGTCAGTGGCAGAACGATCAGCTGTCGTGTGTTCTTAGTGAGAGATTCGAGGGATAATGCGCATGCGTACCCCACCCGTTCATTCCTAGCATCAACTCGGAGAGAAGAGATCAGGGTCTATCAGCACGAGGGATTTTGGGGCTCAAGAAAGCGAGAAACGTACGACGAGAAGCGACAGCGCGACGAAAAAGGGAAAGCGCCCGCGGATCCACGAAGTAAGTAGGGATTGTTCCAGGTTGTGAAGGGCGACGACATGGCGTGGATTACGATTGGGTTGAAAACAATGAGCCCAAAGAGTTGAGCAGAGACGGCTCTACCATCAAATCAAAGCAAGCGTGAACAGCGCTGTCGTCGAGAGATTCAACACGGCCAACAATAATATCAACACCGCCATGCGTAACATCAACAACGGTCGGCGTGGCAATATAATAATAAACAGGAATAACCACCACCGGCTAAAATCACTCATGAAGTCAAGGTGAGCCGGACTGCAGGAACAGGTTGCTCGGCGTCGTCGGTCAGCAAGCGAGCCAGCCAGTCAGCAAGCCAAAATTCACCTCTGACCCCCAGCTGTCCACCATTGTGCTCTGGCGCGGCTGATGGTTATGGTGCGTAGCCGCCGCCGCCAACACCACCGCCGCTCCGCCGATGCCCCTGCAGATGATCATGTTGATGATGGTGTTGCCGGTGATTGAAGTCAGATGAGTGTTGAAACAGTTACGTGTTGGTTTCTTGATCTTAATATCCGGAGCGCTTTCCCTTTTGACCCATGAATGGCCGGTAGGATGGATGGCCGGTCGGGTATCTCGCTCGCTCGCTCGCGCGCTCATTGACATGACGCTACAATGAACACCGAGAGGAGGAAAAATGGAAGGATCTAAGGGACGAATTTTATTGAAGCCCCGCTCGGACGACGATGTCCACCTTCATCACCACCGATCGATAGAAGCGTCACCCGGAGGAAGTCGAGCGCTCCATTATTACTAGGAAGTTTGACCACCGAACGACGACGCACCGACGGACGGATATATTGCGAGGTGCTGACGCGCAGGTATGCCCGCAGCGGGGCAGTTTAGCTTAGTTCAGTGGGATAGCTCAAGTTGCCGAATGAAGTTTTCAAAACATCGCTCGTCTCGATGTTCCGTCAGCGCACCGCGCGGCTTCCAAAGTGAAACCGCATACCATCAATCGTAAACATTGGCGAATGTAGCCATAACTTGACCGACCGGTAGTGTCAACACGGTAGTGCCCCTCACCGACTACATGGGCCGCATGTGCGGGAGAACTTCCTTAAATCCGTCGGAGCTCCTGGTCGTCGAGGACATCCTCGTCGACGGCGCGAAATCGAAAAAACGCCGCTCCCTCCAATAATTATCATCAAGGTCAAGACTCCGCCTATACTCGTAGTCCCGTCAGGCAGTCGAGCGACAACGGGGCAAAGGGGCAGACAGACAGCAGCCGTTCCCGCACCCCCGCTGACGTCGAGCAGGCTCGAACAGGAGCTCGAAGGGCGCGCGGCGCGAGGATATGTCGGACGATGGGATATGAGAACTGAGGGCGGGGGAAAGGCCCTCGGGCAGATGGCCTGAACTCCATTTATCGATAAACGCTCAAGGTGGTCCGGGAAGAACCTTCTTTGTGAGAGTTTAACACTCGATGCGCGCGATCGCTCCCTTTGAGACGGCCAATCCAGAGCGATAAACGATTTTTTTCTCCAAATTGAACATCCCCGACAGGATCCAGTCTGCCGACTCGAGGGCTTCGGAATTCGTTTGGGTCCCGATCGAGATCGCAGGAAAGACAAGGCTCGGCATGGAATGCATATGAAATCAGCATCGGATATTCAAACTTTTCCATGCCAGGGATTATCCCGCACAACGAGTTCTCAACCGAACGCTAATATACCGCGAGAATTTCTGTGTTCCGCACCGCGGGGGTCAACCGAGCGGATTGAATTGGATTGGACAGCTGGAAAGCCTCAGAAACACCAGAAGCTAGAATCTCACGTCAGGAAGATCTTCGTCTTCCCGTCGACTCAAACCATCTAATTCAACTCCGACTTCCCCATACCTTGTTCGAGTAGTCGAGCCGCATGTCCCGTGCAAGAGGGTTTTTCCCTTTCAGCCAAAAGTTCATTCAAGTAGGCATTGACGTCGACGGCGGCGGAGGCGGTGATCGCCCCGGGGGAGCCACTGCCTTCAGACATAGTCCCGTTCCGGGGGAAAACAACAAAAGACTTGTTTTCGTATCCTTCGATAGAGTTTCGTTAGAATTCCACTCGAGTAGCACTGTGCTCAAGACCGTCGATAACAGAACGACAAACCCTCGCACAAACACATCTGAAACAGAGAGTCGCACGCAGGAATACACTGTGGTATGTGCCGACACAACTAGAGCAGAGAAACACAGGAGTCACTGTCCGTCTCAGGAGTAACGGGCCCGCCACTGCTTGAAGTGAGATAGCAAAATGGGGAAAGGATCGTTGGGCGAGGGAGCCAACTGAAGGTGAGGGTGCGGATACACGGCGCTCAACTTCGAATTACGCCGTCCGGCATCATGGCTAGGATCAGAAATTCCCCCGGAAACTCAAACGCGGTTCCGCGCGGATCCTCGCGGTGGGCTTAGAGTTACAACCTGGGTCATTGGCGGGGACTCAGACCCTTCGTAAAGGCTCACCGGGGGGCCTTAGATGTCTTCCCCTTGATTTCTGATGAGATTCGTGGTTTTCGTGTGCCGCGGGATGACTGGCGCAACAGGAAATCTTGGGTCGCTCATCCGTCCAAGTTTCGTTGCTTTCCTCAGGGGAACTATCGGTCGGAGGCCGCGGGCTCTTCTCAGGAATTATTCGAGCTCTCAGGCATCCGCGAAATTAGCCCGGGCAGATGGAACAATGGCCCACAAACCATACCCGTTTTGAATTCAGCAATTCAGCCCGATCCGCTCGGAGAGTTACGCGAACGTTTGAGATAATATTCCTCCGCCTAACGGATATAACAACAGAGAAGCAGAAGATTGAAAGAATTGATGAATGATCGGAACAGAGAAAAACAGTCAGAGCGGCTGCTGTTTTCTTAGGTTTGCCAGTCGGAACACGACTTCGTGCGCACGGTCCGGAATACATTACCTCCTAAGATAACACCTGCACCAGAACGTTGCCGTGGCTGCAGGCGGACGAGCTCCATTAGCATTTCTTGATTCTTCACCAATCGCATTTACTCGAAAGCGGCTCAGTCTAATGCATAATAGGATTCAGAAGGCTCGCCGAAAAACGTCAACCTTCGATGACCTCGTCTCTGACGTAGGTGGACGATCGGTCAGCTGGATACACAGGCGGCAGACCGGTCGGGCCTTCAGTCAATCAAGTTTCCGTGTTTTTTTTATTAATTCCTGCACTGGCTCTTACAAGACAGAAAATGGGAGAAAAAAAGGTAGAATCGGAGTTCTCCCTCAAAGGATATAGCGCCACCGATACGGCATAGACGCTCAAGGTATCGCTAGCAGATCTTTTGCTGCAAGCACCTTCTCGAGCTCGGATAAGGAGCATCCGATACCCCTCATGTATCTATGTCCAACCTTCTCTGACGTTCGTTTTTTCCGTTTCCCTCCTGGCTTTCCCTGAACGGCCCCGGTCGACGGAGTGCTGCTCTCGTTCGCCAATGTGGTCGCTGGGTCATAGGAGCCGGAGGCTGGCTCAGTTGGAAGCCGCTCGGCTTATCCATCGAGCAGGTTGGTGAACCAGCGGCCGCGCGGAGTATTTTAGGTTAAGTGGCAACGGACAACGTCTATTCTAAGTAGCTTCCCTATCCAATTAGTCGAGTCGTCGTCGGTGTCTTGCTCAACTTGTATTACCGCTGGTACGGCCACCGGTGCCATGCACGCTGCAGGCCGCTTCTGCTAGTTCAGTTGATCTGACGGCTCCCGCAAATCCTCCGAGAGTTCTCGATGAACTCCGAGCCAAGTTTTGCGAGGAATCTCCCGGTCCGCTGACTCCGATCGACCATACGACGAACCATTCGATCCTCTATCCCTCCTGTTCCGCTGCAATGCCGATCGGTATCAGAGATGAAACTCCTCCAGACCTTTTTGGAAAGAAGGTTTTGCTCCGAACTCGGACTCCGGACTCAGGTTCCCGAACGTTCAATTTCTTCTCTAATCGGCGATTAATCTCGAAAACACCGGTTGAGCTTTATTCGATCCGAAATATCTCACAGTTGGCACTCGCCGAAATTCTCAGGAACACGGGGGATATGGGATGTCGCCATCCGTAGCTATCAAGCGGACATAGAGATGGCGGGAAGATAAACGGGAACTGAACGAAGCGAGAAGAACGGCGCGTCGCAGAACGAGAAAAAAAAGAGAGACTCTACGATCCAAAAATTGGATTTCTCTGAAATAACTGCTCAACGACACCGAAGACGATGCTCCGGGCACCGCTCGCCGTCACCCGGGGGCTTAGACGGGATAAGAGATTCAATGGCAAAGTAAGGAGTCCTCCACCTGGGCCAAAACCTTCCGTTCGGAAGCTCAGCCCATTGGTGTTCCGGAGATCAACATCGAGCAGTTCGAAGTTCTTGACTTTGCCCTGCCCTTCCTCTCGAATACCTCGAACCGTAGGCGCCCGGAAGATCACCTGAAAATGTATGCCGATCTCGTGAATGGAAGAGTCTGCAGATCTTCTGATAGGGCGGAGTCGGGAACTCTTTCAAAGGCGGAAGGGAACCGAATGGGAGGGAAAATGCGAGAGCCGAGAGAACGCATTCCGAGTCGATATTCGCCTTTGGGTCCCTATTCCGAAATTGGAGAAAATGCATCTCGTGCCTTATCCATCTCTGTTTTCGGAAGACTACGCTTTCCTGAGCCGAGCTCACATTAATATGTACAAGGCCGGCATTGACGCCCCTCTGATCGGAAGACTTGGTTAGCAAACACCTACGACATGTCGATCGCCTCGCCGATTCCACCGGTACAAACCTTCAATCCCAGAGTTCTGTAGCTGAGGAACAGACGACCAGCTCCACCTAAAATGACGAGATAATCATAGTTTCCGTCCGCAAGCCTATCCGACCAGCAGCCGACAGCCTTCATTCAAGCCTTCGTTCGGTGAGCTCGACGACCGCCTCAATGGCCGTTGGTGGTCGACGGATGTAGCTACATTCGTACCCATCCACACGGGCTTTAATTTGAATTCTATGCGAGTCCGCCCGGATAGAATTGCTGCTAACGCCGCTGTCCGCGCGGGTCATCCGGCTTCCGCCGCAGACGATTTGCCTACGAGCCGCAAAATACGTAAAGCTCACCCAATTCAAGAGCTAGACTCATGTCCCACACGATGGGTCCTCGCCGGAAACTGAATTCCATGGTGACAATCATCGCGTTCGCCTGACAGGCTACCCGTACATCATCCAGTTGAAGCTGAAAACACGTTGTGGAGCTTCACGGGCTTGCGAATACAACTGACCGCTCTGTAGCGAGAAAAAACTCATGAAATCCTCCGACGCTCTTGAGTTCAATGGAACCAGAGAGCAAACTCCGGGCATGGATCGATTCGTTTTGGAGAAACAAAAAATAATTCCGAGACTGAGTAAGGTGACTAATTCTGAATTACTCACTGTTTGGGCGTTGTACATTCTCGCATTCCGCAGCGTAACCGTGCCGAATTGAAAGGTTTTCTCCAATTTCAAAGGCTCACGGGGATCGACTTGGGCGCGCAGTACTCCAACGAAGGCCCCGATAGCCGTTCGCACGATGGCTTCGTTTTCGCAACGCTGGGCGGCCTGAAGGGAACGAAGAGAGCAATCAATGAAAAAGCACGCAATTAGATATTTACATACATATCGAATTATTCATTCCATTTAGTTCTACCGCTCTTCGAGCTCTTCCGGAAGCCTTCCACTTCATACCGAACTCAGACCCAGGGTTCAATTGGATTTTTCTTCTCAGCACCCGTGCAATTTACGAGCGCCGTATCCGAGCTCGAGAGACGCCTTAGTCTCCGAACGTCTTCGCACACCGCAGCGTGAAAAGGCTCTCCCCGTTGCGGAGACGCGGATCTTACGAGCGCAGACAGCTGGTGATCGAGGTCACCGACGAAGAGCATGGAAGCGACGCCGGTCAACTGGATTGTGGATGCCCATACATTCATGGACAATGACCCTGAGTAGATGATACCATGTTCTCGCCGGCGCTCTGATTCATGATTCATGACTCGAGGTAAGAGCTCGCGGATTTACCTTATAGGGAGCTTACTTATAGGGAGCTCTAAATCCATGTTCGATAATAAGGGACCCTTCGGACGCTTTCCTGGAGCCGCTCACCGACTGGCTCCGTGTGGCGGCACAGAGCGCTTACGAATCCTCTCGCGTGGATTCTATCTCCCCGGGTGAGCCTTTAAAACGAGAGCCGACGGATCGCATATCCAGACCTTCGGAGTCTATCTGGAGAAACAGGCTAAGATCTCTCTGTCATGAATTTCGTACCTGCGGAACGGAGGCCGGAAATAGAGCGAACAGAATGAAGATCCGCATGACACTGACTCACTCACTCGCACGCTAAAAGATGCGAACCTCCGCACGCACTCGAGTAAAGTTGGAAACCTCTGCGAGTGGGCAGCCACGAGGGTCAGAAGCTCCGAGAGAACAAGTGAAGGGATAAAAAACATATTTGCTCTCCGACCTGCACTCGCTTGCTTCCCAGAGACCTTCATGCTGGGGACAAAATGTAGCTCGTTGACAATAATTGAGGAGAGACCTTGTCAGAATTTCTCTGTTCGGCCACCGAGTTTCTATCGCAGCGCGACACTCTGGAAACGTCTATATTCGTACATCTTCGAGGCGGAATCCTCTTCCAGGTTCTTCAATTTCTCTGGGTCTCGGGAGCTCGGTTTTCTATGTTGCAAGAGCGTCAACCCGGCGAGACGATGAAGGCTATCTGATAAACTCCTCGGCACGGTTTGACTCGTGAACAGCAAAGAAATCTCGACCTTGAAAGCTAAGTCTCATCTGCGCGCTCGTAGGGCTGTCATCGGCTCGATGTCCGCCAGCTCAGAACTGCTCTTGGGGAAGTTTCCCCCGGAAATCTTTATCAGGCGTGAAATGGTAACGAGTATCTCTGAGGGAATGAACCTCTTCCTCCCCGCCAAAGGGAGATCAAAAGGTTCCGACCGCCTTTATTTCCAATGTTTAAGCTGAGCCCAAGCATGAATTCGCC